AGATTTATTAAAAAAAAAATTATCGCTCTGAAGGAGATAGTATTAATATGAAATAATAAAGGCTACATGGGAGAGGTAGCACAAAAATCTCACAAAATTAATTTTCTTCACTATATTTATAAAAGGTAATAATTTGAGATTCTTTCTATTAGTTATTAAAATAATTTGCATTAGATCATTGTTATTTTTTTTTAAATTTTTTTTATAGGCGTGCATTCGTTATAGTATTTCTTCAATCCTATCTCTAAATTCTTTCTTTGAAATTTTTGTTTTTTCAATAATTAAGTTTAGAATCAATTTCTTATCAAATGTTTTCTTGATCCTTATTTTATTGAAGGATCGAGACGAATAAAACTTTCATATAATATATGAATTAATGATATAATACAAAGATGAAAGGGAAGTACTACATATTTGTCAATATCTCTATGTTATTATTAGTTGATTTGCTAGATTATACGTATCAATTTAGAGCCATATGATTCAATTCAATTATGACTTAATTTGTATTTGATCATTTTTTCGTTGAGATAACTGATATAAATTTTTTTGGGTATATAATGATTAAAGCTATCATTTGTTATATTTTTTCAAAATACAATTCAAATAATATTTTTATCATTTTTTTTTATAAAATAACATGATTAAAACTATTCTCTTATTAATTTTATAATTACTGATAACATTTTACATCTTGATTAATTTTTATAAAAATGACATAAGGAACTATGCAAGTATTATTCAAACTATGAGAGATGATTTATACTTTTGATATGTATGAGTGTGTCGTTGATAGAGGAAATCAAAGATAGAGAGTGCTTCAAATAATCAATTATAAATTTGTTTGAGAAATTTCTTTTTATAAGCAAGGCACATAACTTGAAGATTAAATTTTTTTAAAAACTAACTTTATAAATTAAATAAAAAGTTGATATTTATTCATAATTTGATCCACAATGATATATACCACCACTGATACAAGTCCAATGTTAAAATTTAATATTAACTAGTATAGACTATTTCAAGTGATTGTGAATACTATTATTCTCAACAATTTTATAATTAATAATTTCTTATGGCATATCAAATTTTATTGTAAAATTTTTGGGTTAATTATTGTTAACATCTACCTAGATGGGCTTAATATTATGGCTGTCGCTATTAAGATATAATTTAAGATTAAGATTATTTATTTATCACACAAGAAATATTAGTAGTCTATTTTTTTCGTGCTCGCACGGGTACTTGCTAGTTTTGAGTTATAAGGGATTGGGGATTTTTTTGAGATTGCGGATTTATTTTTTATTTTTTTTTTTGGGGGGGGGGGAATGGAAAAAAATTGTGGGGCCGGGAATGGAAAAAAAATGGTGCGAATGGAAAAAAAAAAGAGGGGGGGGGTTGGCGGAATTAGGAAAAAAATAATTTAGTTTCCTCACAAATGAAGTGGATATTAGGAAATTTTTTTTAATTTCATCACAAATGGAATATTTAAATAATAATAATTTTTTTTTTCAATAGAAGTTGCCGTTGTCAAATAAATTTATTTTTGAAAACAACTTTTTTTTATAGTTAATGATTTTTTTTTTCATTTTCTCTTTAGTTACTAAGGTTGAGAATTTATTTGTTTCATTCTTATTTTAAATGAATAAAAAATTATTGTTATTATTTTTTATTTGGTAGAAGTAAGATAATATTTTAATGAAAATATTTTTCATGAAATAAAGTATTTTTTTATGGTCAATGAAAAATTTTTTCTGTGACTCATTTTTTTTTAATTACTAAAATCAAGAGATAGAGAGAAAGACATCAGACAGACAGACAGAAAAAGAGAGAGAAACAGAGATGAGCGAGAGATAAACAAAGAGAGAGAGAGAGAGAGAGAGAGAGAGAGTGAAAAGAGATATCGAGAGAAGACAGACAAAAGAGAGAGAGAGAGAGTAGAGAGAAGAAAGATGAATGAGAGAGATTGAGAGAGAGAGATGAGCGAGAGACAAAGAGAAGAAAGAGAGAGAGACAGAGACAAAGGACAGACAGACAGAGAAGAGTGATGATAGGGAGAGAGAAGGAGAGAGAGAGAGGAAGAGAGAGAGAGAGAGAAAGAGTAGAGAGTGGGAGACAAAAAAAGAGACAGAGAGAAAGAGATAGAGAGTGGGAGACAAAAAAAGAGAGAAGAGAGAGAGAAGAGAGATAGTGAGAGAGCACATGAGAGAACGAGATGAATGAGAGAGACAGAGAAAGAGATAGAGAGAAGAGAGATGAACAGAGAGAGACAGAGAGAGATAAGAGAGATAGAAAAGATAGAGAGAAGAGGAGATGAGCGAAAGAGATAGAAAGAGAAAAGAGATGAAAGAAAAGATAAATGAGTGAGAGAACATAGAGAGAGACAGATAGATCAGACAGATAGAGAGAGAAGAGTGACGAGTGAGAGAAGAAGATAGAGGAATATGAAAAAATGGGTGAAAATATATAGACAAAGAGAGAAAGAAAAATAGCGGAAAAGAGATAAACGAGAGAGAGAGCAGAGAGAGACGAGCGAGAAGATAAAGAGAAGAAGAGCAGAAAGAGAGAGAGAGGTGGCGAGAGACACAGAGAGACAGACAGACAGACAGACAGAGAAGAGTGATGATGAGAGAGAGAAAAAGAAAAGAAGAGAGACAGAGACACAAGAGAAAGAGAGAGACAGATTGACAGAGAAGAGTGATGAGTGAGAAGAGAAAGAGACACATAGAGAACGAGAGAGACATACAGACAGAGAAGAGTGATGATGAGAGAGAGAAAGAGAAGAGAGACAAAGACAGAGAAAGATGAAAAAATGGGTAAAAAGAGAATGTCCAAAAGAGTAAGACATGTCATTTTTTTTTTGTGACAGAAAAATACCGTTGTATTTATTTAAACCATTTTGTGACTATATATGAAGCGCTCTCAAAGACACAATATAATATATTATTACTTTTTTTTTTGGCAACGGTATCTATTACAGTTGCAAAATACTCATTTTTTTACTACAACTGGTATTTGTCGCAAAAACTCTATTTTTTTGCGACAACAATCTCTGCCATCAGCAAATACTCTATTTTTTTTGCGACAGCATTTCTGCCGTCGCAAGTACTCTCCTTTTTTGCAACAGCATTTTTATGCGTCACAAATACTCTATTTTTTGCGCACGGCAAGTTTGCATCGCTTCAAAAAATCACATTTTTTGCGACGGCAAGTATGTGCCGTCTCAAAAGTCACATTTCTTTGTCAACGGCTAGTTGCCAAAAGTAAAACAAATGATAATGCAAAAATTAACAGCAAGTTTACTTAACCATGACTTAATCTCTATATGTGTGTGTGTTTTCTTTTCTTTTTTTTTCTTTTTTTTTTTTAAGAAGGGGGGGGGTTGGGGAATTAGGAAAAAAATAATTTAGTTTCCATCACAAATGAAGTGGCAAAATAGGAAATTTTTTTTTAATTTCCATCACAAATGAATATTTAAATAATAAAATAATTTTTTTTTTCAATAGAAGTTGCCGTTGTCAAATAAATTTATTTTTTGTTAAAACAATTTTTTTTTATAGTTAATGATTTTTTTTTTCATTTTCTTTTAGTTACTAAGGTTGAGAATTTATTTGTTTCATTCTTATTTTAATGAATAAAAAATTATTGTTATTATTTTTTATTTGGTAGAAGTAGGAATAATATTTTAATGAAAAATATTTTTCATGAAAATAAAGTTATTTTTTTATGGTCAATGAAAAATATTTTTCTGTGACTCATTTTTTTTTATTACTAAAAATCAAGAGATAGAGAGAAAGACATACAGACAGACAGACAGAAAAAGAGAGAGAAACAAGAGATGAGCGAGAGATAAACAAAGAGAGAGAGAGAGAGAGAGAGAGAGAGAGTGAAAAGAGATGATCGAGAGAAAGACAGACAAAGAGAGAGAGAGAGAGAGTGAGAGAGAAGAAAGATGAATGAGAGAGATTGAGAGAAGAGAGATGAGCGAGAGACAAAGAGAG